CCTTGAGCTATGTTGCAAATGAACACAATATCCTTCGTCGTGAAGTTGAAATCGTGGAGGGCCCCTTCATTGTGAAGTTGAGCCTTGAATTGGATATCCTTCATCGTGAAGTTGAAATCTAATCTGAAGATGAATGTTGCTGGTGGGCACAATTCCTCTCATCGTGAAGCTAAAACCGTGGATGGCCCTTTCGTTGTGAAGTTGAGCCCTGAATTGAATATTCTTCATCATGAAGTTGAAATCCAATCTAAAGATGAATGATACTAGTGAGCACGATTCCCTTCGTCGTGAAGTTAAAACCGTGGATGACCCCTTCGTTGTGAAGTTGAGCCTTGAATTGGATATCATTCGTAATGAAGTTGAAATCCAATCTAAAGATGAATGTTGCTTCGAGTCCAATATCATTCGTCGTGAAGTTAAAATTGGCTCTTAATAAAATTGGGAAGCCCCTTCGCCGTGAAGTCGAGCTTTGAATTGGATATCATTCGTCGTGAAGTTGAAATCCAATCTAGAGTTGGCACAATAACCTTCATCGTAAAGTTGAAATCATGGATGACCCCTTCATTGTGAAGTTGAGAATTGACTTGAATATCCTTCGTCGTGAAGTTGAAATCCAAGCTTGTATTGTTTCGAGTCTAATATCCTTCGCCGTAAAGTTAAAATTGGTTCTGAACAAAACTGGGAAGCCTCTTCACCGTGAAGTTGAGCTTTGAATTGGATATCCTTCATCTTGAAGTTTAAATCCAATCTAGAATGTTTATTTTGAGTTGGATATCCTCCGTGGTGGAGTTGAAATCTAATTTCAAACAAATTGTGTCGCTTCGAGTTTAATAACCTTCACTGTGAAGTTGAAATTGACTCTGAACGAGACTCGAAAAGTTGTTTTATCGTCAGACAGTCACCCCTTCGCTATGAGGTCGAGGAACCACCATCAACTTTGGAATGTGCTTTTGAATCGAGTATCTTTCGTCTTGAAGTTGAAACTTGACTCAAAAAGCTGAAAAAAAATTATGTATGCTAAAAATGATAAATGCGATGCTCTTAAGTATGTCTAAGATGCATGCAACATGAATTAATTCTTTTTTATCCCTTGGATGGAGCCTCATTTTTGTCGCTGGTCTTGTCCTTGGAATAGACCATGCCCCATTTTCTTCTTAGGTTATTGGTAATGTCACAAGTTCTATCTGATCTCTTGGACTGATTATCTTGTGAAATGTTCGAAATTTGGCATTGTTCGTTCTTTCTTCAAGAGAGGTAAAATGAGCCTTAGCATCTTCCAGGACCTTTCACATTTGAGACTGTCCTGTTTGAAAATGTTTTCTCATTTCTCTTATTTTAGGGGGAAGGGAAAAAAATATAAAAAATGTAAGAATTCCTGTAAAACATTGCCCCATAATCCAGGCTTGCAATCGAATCAAATCATAAACATGAGTTCAAAGTATAACAAAGGAATCAATAGCTCTTTTATTGTTTTCAGAGTTATTGCTCTTTGAAAAATATTCAAGTGGATAAGTTGGCTTTAGGTTGACCTACGGTTTCAGCAAAAAATGTCATTTTTCGGTTATTGCAACATGTTTTTTCTTTGGCTTGGCATTTTAATTGGATGCGGACAAATGACACAACTAACATAATCAATCACTAGATCTTCTATTTGGTCCTCTGAGATCTTCCATTTTTTCAAGCTTTGTAGGCTCTTCTACTAAAGGCAGTGCATAAATATAGGTCTAAAAATGAAAATCTTGAGCGCACGTGTGAATTTGACTATAACAGGTGTTCCTTAACTCCTTTAGCCTATTTTACCGAAACTCTTTATTTAAATTTTCCATTGTCTGGCTAGCTGAATCCATAAAGCTGAGGCGTTTAACCAATTGCTCTAGAGGGATAGCTTAATATCATTGTATAAATATTATAATCACCTTTATTAGGCTAGCTGAATATTATCCATAAAGTCGGGGAGTTTAACCAATTTTCTCTAGAGGGACAACTCAAGCTTTATTGTATAGATATTATAATCACCTTTATCAGGCTTAGCTGAATCTTATCCATAAAGCTGGAGCATTTAACCAATTGCTTTAGAGGGATAACTAAAGCTTTATGTATATATAAATTTATAATTTGGGTATACTGATCAATTTCTTAAGTTTGTCAAGAAGAGCCTGTTATAGTCTAGGTGTTTTTGAAAGTCAAGAAATCTCATCTTTAGAGTTCAATTTCCAAACAACTGACTAAATTAGATTTGCTTACTCGACTATTTCATCTGTGAATATCATTATCATCATTGAACGTCTTAACAAAAAATATAATAATGCCATATGCAAAAGATGCCCATGTTGTCCACACCTATACACACTAAATACCAAGCCTTATGAAGGGAGAAGGTTATATTAGTTATTTGCAAGAGAAGGGTACGATGTTTGAGCATATCTTTTTGGGTAAGGTCAAAGTCCTTATCATGTTACTTATCAAAGATCTGTAACTCTGATCATTACAGAGCTTTTGATTCAACTGATATCAAAGAATTCAAGTTGTATATTTGATGCAATGCTCATCATAAATTCATTGAAATATCATTAAAATGAAAATATGAGAAAGTTCAAAAAACAGTCCAACATGACGCTGAAAAATGAAATAAATCCTCAATAGGATGCCCCACTATTTCCAGAATGTCGAAGATCAAGGTCTTCCTTGCACTTGCTCCCCATTTTAACCTTTTCACTTGTTGATGCTCCTTTGATGTACCCTCAGATGCACAAATTCTACTTCGGGAAGTCCTTGCTTGAGGTGATACCTCCAATATTTGTTCCTTTTGGTGAGACATGTTTTGTTAGCTAATGCGAATATAAAGAAATGAAAATAAAAAAAATGCAAATATGTTTAAATGCATTATGCAGCAATGTTCGAGGCATTAATCCAAAAATGTGTCTGTTATTATAAATAGTCCTTATTGGGGACAAAAATGTTAAATCTTAAGAGACAAAAAACATTTGAAAGGTATTGACCGCAAAAAGCTTCTAACAGGTTGACTGGTCTTCTGCCTTTGTCTATTGCCGATTGAATATCCTGTCGAACCATTCTAGCTTCTTTGGCTAAACTGTGCAAGTGACCTCTCCAGCTTTCATTCTTTGCTGAGCCTTCCTCAACGAAGCGCCATTGGAAGCCTCATTGAAGTGAACTATACGAACGAAGCGCCATTGGAAGCCTCCATTGAAGTGAACTATACGAAGCTTGCTTCTTGAATTTGTCAACAATGGCCTCCAGCTCAGCTAGGGTTTCACCATCTTGTTCTCATAATCTTCGAAATGACTCTCTGGGTCAGTAACTTTTTTCTTGTCTTTCCCCTGCAACTTTCGCCATCCCTTTTTGGAAAAGTTGACTTTTGGCGTGCTTGGTGGAAATCCTCGTCCATTCTGAGTATTCTCTGACCATAGCTAGACTTCTGAGCTTTTCATCTCTTGTATTATAACCCACTAGTCCATTAATGCAAATTATTCATGTTTAACAAACACGTTTTTTGTGTAAACACCTCTTTAAATGATGCAAATAATGAAAACAAAATAAAAGAGAACAAAAATAAAAAAGTTAGTGAGGTAAATCAAAACAATAAAAAATGAAAAATTCTACCCGACATGATATCTACCCCACATGCTTATTATTCCTACTCGGACATGATCTCTATCTCGCATGCTAATTTCAAACAAATCCTAACCGCATATTTGTCTAGTTCGCATGCTTTGAACAGAAAGCAAACAGGAAATAATTCAGGCATCCTAGGGTTTGAAATGAGGTTTTGGGGTGGGTTCTAATTCCATGTACTCTCCCGTTTAGGTTCTAAAGAGGGTACTTGAGTTCTCCTTGCTGGTGCCCCTTGCTTGCCAGACCATTAGTCTTAAGCACATTACAAGCTTATGTTGACTAAGTTAAACTCGAGAGGAAACATTCCTTTATGCCCGCACGTTAATAAATCCACACGAAGACATAAGGTATATGAATCCGAAGGCTACTTCTAGGCCCGTAGTTATTTTCACGATTAAAGACAACCGATAAATTATTAGTACTGAAAGGGCAGCTCAGGGTGCTAATCTTCCTTGCTGTAACCACTCCCGAACCCGACACATTTATGGTAAATGCAGATCAAGTAAGATGGTGTCTGATCAACCTAAATATTTTATTTAAATGATCGATGCGACTCTAGCACATTTATTTAAAGTCGAAGCCCAATTCCGGGCCCAACCGAAAGTCGGTTTCGACAACCATACTAACTTTCCTTCACTTAGATACTTAAAACATCTAGTATCCCTCAATAACATTTGATTCTAAGAATCACACTAAAAATTCTAACTTGTTTTCACTCATCCAATGCTTCTAATATTTCAGTTACCTTATTGACGAGTCAATTCTACCAATAAACATTAATAAACCCTTATATATTAACATATCATTATAAAACCTATTTTCTAAAATCTCCTTTATTTTCCTTATCTCATTGTTTTAATCCCTTCTAAACATTCCTTAAGCTTCCATCATATACAAGGATTCAATAACCAACAAAAATTGGAGGAGTAAACCATTAAATTAAAAACTTACCTTTGAGCTATGGGAGAACTCTTCTACGTGGAAAGAGGAGAAGAAGAAAGAGAATTTTTGCAACTTAATTCCCTTTTCCCCTTATCTTTAATACCAATTTAAAATACACTTTAATTTCTTTTTCATTTAAAAGACTAAAATGCCTTCTTAATAATCTATTGTTACAATTTAGTCTAAACCAATAATCCTAATCATTATCATCTTATATCATTAAATCAAATAAATCCTCCTATTTTTGAATCATTTCAATATAGTCCCTAAATTTGTATTTGAGGCATTACAGTGCATCTGGAACAAACCTGATTAGTATCCTCGGTCAGAACCGTAACATCGTCGATCAATAAGATCTTTGGCGAGTTGGTAAGTTTCGACATGTACACAAGTGAAGATGGAGCGAAGGACTTTATAAAAAAGGTTTATCCAGCCAATCTTGACATGTATGAACCTTTGTATCCATACTTCTTAAGTGCCTCCACAACCTTGTCCTCAATCTCTTTCCATTTGGCCATTTTACCTGTTGAAGGCATTTTACACAGTTCACCAGAGTTTTAATGGACCCTAGTTTCGCATGGTTTACTATTTGGAAAATGAGAGATAAGTTCTTCGCTTTTCACTGGTGTTTCCAATGCCACAGTTCAAGGAATGTAAGAGGTATCATGGGAAGTTATTTTCGGAACGCATACATTTTAAGATAGAATACAGAAAACCAGTCCATTCTGTTTCAATGAAGACAAAATCTCGGAGAAATATGAAAAATATTACTTACATGCTGGTTGATAAACACCAGATTTTTAACCTCGGGATAAATTCCGACTCTTGGTGCATCCAGTGCAAATGAAATGAACTCCTCAAAAGTAATAATCTGAAACTTCCCTGTGGAATGCACAACAACTAAAATCAGCCCTGAAAATTAACAGCCTTCTTTCATAGTTATAAAATTCTCGTGCCATATAGTCCGTAACGCATAATGCCGATAGAGGAAATCAGAAAAATTCTTAACATCATAACTTGATAAAATGAAGTTGAGGAGTTCAAATCAAGAAGGCCATGCAATAACAAACAGCATAGAGGAACTAACCATTATACTGCTGATCCCGGAATTCGTACCGCTGCTTCACCCGTAACTTCTTTAATTCTTCTAGAGTGAAATCAACTGCACATATATGAAGAATAGTTTGAAACATACTACTAGGAAATAAAGGCAAAAGAGTGCTAATCCGAAATTGTCAGAGAATTCAAGGTGTTAGACTAAACACGGTGCCCCATCTTCTAGATTTGGGGTAAAAGTTGTATGGTTCCATACCAGGGAAAAAGCCTGTGGTGTTGACCCCTTGAACATCATAGGTCCTTTTACGATTCGAAAACTCTTTGTGATCTGCAACATGGGTTGTTTCGTCAAGAGTGACATCATGGAAACATAAGAACACCATCTTTTGATGATAGGATATCTGTTTCTATGAAGTCTGCACCCTCATCAACAGCTCTCTGCAAGAAGGCAGTATATAGTCAATGTACATATAACATTGGCAACCATTTCACACTGCAATATGGATAATTCAGTATCTATAATCAAGGAAAATCACAAGTTTTCTTCCCCAAGAATATGTCTCAAGAAACTAAGAGAAGCAATCGAACTAAGTAATTCAGATACTACGGTGCCAAATAATTCATTCCATTGAACAAACAGATAGGGAAAGCATAAATAGTAGTAGAATGTGCAGGCTTGAAACATACCATGTATGCAGCGGTGGTTTCTTTGGGGATCTCTCCACTTGAACCTCGACGGGCGATATTATAAGGATGCGAGGTTTGTAGAGGCTGTCGGTTTTGATTGGCTGTTTTACTAAGAAATGGATGGAAAGGCCTAGTAGCACAGGCAGCAATGAGTGATTGGCACAAGAGAGGGACAAAGCCTCCTGCATTGTTTCATACCATCACATTAGTCGTTCAAATTGTTTACTCAAGAATAAAACAACGTTCTTAATATATTAGTCATTCAATTGGAGTACCGATCACGGTGGTGGTTGATACCGTTATTGTAGAAAATAACGGTGTGATTAAAAAGAAACCAACTCCTTTAAAAAAAAATCACGACCGCAGTACCCCAATAACATTCGTGACATCTACAAATGTGATAAACGCAATATGACTAAAAACACAGCCACAACCACAATTTAAATCCTTTATTGTGACAAATATGGAAAACTATATAGCAAGTTCGCCCATCTTTAGTATTTTTTTTTTTATAAATATGAGGTAAATAAAAGATAATATCTACTTAAAAGACTTCAATCATTTGACATTAAATACTCCTACATATGCGTGGCTTGAACTTGAAACCTCAATGGAAATACAAGTCGTTTGACTCGTGCTGAGATATTCAATAAGCAATTTACAGATAATTCATGGTAGATGCCCCATTATCTTTAGCTGATAGATACATCACACCCCCCCTACTACTAATCATTTCCCAAAGGTCAATGAATCAAGAGAAACACAAAACTCAATAGTCAAATGAATGAATGCAAAGGCTAGGAACTTATCTGTGATCATATTAAACAATGAACTGAAAACCCCAGAAAAAAGGGGAAAATGACATAAAAAAATGGTTAAAAGGAAATAAGCATAAAAATATATGAAAACCCAGAAACCATACAATCAAACTAATGAATAGAAAAAGTATAAAATACAGCATCAACCCAGAAAACTTAAACACGATCAAATCTAACACAGTGCAAAAATCAATGAAAAGCTCAAAACTTACCTCTAAAACTCATTGTTTTATCCATGAAACAATTAACCCACTTCTAAAAGAGAATGAGATCCCTTGTTTCCAACTATAAACCATGCTTTATAAGGTCTGAGATGATGCGTTATCAGCTGAAACTGTCCATAATCATAAAATAATAAAGCATTTCTGGGCACATTATTTGATTGCGTCACATATTCACAAGACATGAACCTATAACCCTGAAATTATTCTTTGTAAACTAGAGAGTGCCGTACTTTACAATGAATAATAAAAAAATAAAATTGAAATTATGTTGTTATCTTTTGAATAATTTAATTACATTTCAGCCGAGAAGTGTTGGTACAATGGTTAAGATTCAGGAATTCGAGTTTGTAAGACCAAATTTGAATCATATCATTGTCACTTTTAATAGACAAATTGTAAATTCCTATATAAATACCAATTGAATCTTAGGTTTGCGATCCTGCATTGAGAAACCATCCTGACATAAACTTTTTATAACAAAAAATAGTTAATTACTTTCAAACATTTTAAGAATAATTATCTTTATAAAAATAAAATTTTAATCGTTTTCATATAAATAATTTAAAATACATGTTCTATAAATTATATACTTATTAGCATATCACATGGATCATGTTCTTTTAGTAAAAAGGAATAATTTATCTTTAGAGATTTTGAGTTTAATCATCAATAATAGTATAATTTTTAAATGTTTAATATCAAACTATGAAAGTTTTTAAAGCATATACTAACACTTATAATCCTTTTATATTAATAAAAAAATAAAACTAATGAACTTAAGGAACCTTCTCTGCTGACGTCTTTACTTGGTAGTGAAATTAAATCTTCTGGAGTTTAAGTAACACAAAATCTTCATCTTGTTCCTGCACTAAATTTATCACAAAATCTAGTTTTTAATAGTCAACAAATTAATACCTTATAAACAATAGATAATTTCATAATTTTTAATAATCAACGAATTAATATCTTATAATCAATAGATAATTTCATATTTTTAATAGTCGATGAATTCAACAAACGGGTATGAACAAGATTTTCTGTTTGTTTTTAATTAAATGAACGACGAAAAATATAAGGTTCATTCGTTCATTTACGTTCATGAACGTTCGATAACTTTTTTGTTTATATTCTTTCATTTATGTTCATTGACCTTCGGTAATCCGTTCGTTTACATTCGGTGAATCATTCATTCATGTTCGTTCATTTAATTAAATTTATATTCTTTTAAGAATTTTTTCTTGATTTAAAAGAAAGTTACATTTTATGTTCATTTATTTTTGTTTGATTGTTCGTTTGTTTATTTGTCATTTTAACGAACGAATATAACGAACACGAATAAGATACATTCCATAACAAATGAACACGAATAAAAGATTTTATTCGTTTAATTGTTTGTATTCGTTCGATTCAAGTTAAACGAAAAAAACATAAAGATACATTTATTGATGTTTATTCCGTTGGTTTACAAGCATATTCCGCATATGGCTTAAGTGATGAATTGTTTGATATTATAGCCACGCACAATTTGTTTGATTCCCAGACTGTTTTGATTTTAAGTCTCTCAGCCGTTAGTCGTACAACCATGTGAAGCTGACAATTAAGTGTTTTGTATTTTCATCTCATTCTTGGTTTGCATTGGCTTTAGTATAAATTAATTCGGATCAGGCCAGTCCACTGAGGAAAGTCGATGAATTGAGGTCAAAGCAGTCAAAAATTCGGTCTAAAACCCATTATCATTCCTATTTGGTCCCTTAACTTGGTATAAATGAACCGAATTCGAACAGACTTATAATCAAGTTCGTTTATTTATTTTTGAATGTGTTCATGTTCATTTCGTGTTCAAATTCGTTTATTTGTCTTTGAAGGTGTTTATGTTCGTTTATTCGCGAACATTTTGGTTTAATGTTCGCGAACATGTTCGTTTATATGTTCATGTACATATTTGTTTATCGTTCGTTTAATATTCATTTAGTGTTCATTTAGCGTTAGATTATTGTTCATTTATATGTTCGGTTTTTAGTTTTACCCTTTCATTTGTAAGCTAGAAAAATGATAAAATTATGTTATTAGTGTTTAAATTCCTTAAAATTCATAGTTTAAATTTTAACTTTTATCTTGTGTTCAATTGATTTCCTACCTTCAACGATACTAGAAAAGTAAAAAAAAAATAGATAAAATGAGCTTGTTCATGAAAAAAAATGAATGAGTCAATAAATGAGTTTGTTCGTGAACGTAAATGAATTAAACACATTTTTGTTCTTGTTAATTCGTTTATTAAATGAACATAAATTTTTTTATGCTCATTTATTTAACTTAACAAATGAATATAAATGAACGTTATACGAATAATTAACCAAATTTTATGTTCATGTACACCCCTTACGGTTAACCAACAATGAAAACTATAAAACACCAAAATCAATTCTTTTTTGTTTTGTTATTATTCGGTTTAATTCATATATGTGATATATGTTATTTTAAGTTTTTATTAGTTGGATGATTCTAATGTATATATGTTCAAAACAATTCTCAATCATTTAATAATGAATGCTCAAAAACCTATCGGCGTAATGCTCAAACCCAAATTCTCTTGAAATAACAATATCTTTTAATTTAATATTTTTTAAAGTATAAAATAAAAAAAATAATCATCATAAAATATAAGATTAACATATGAATTTAAATTGCATACTCTTATACTATTATTTTCTTTTGGAATATAATTAATGTCTTATTAAAAATCTTCTCATATCTCAATTGAGTCGTTATTTAATCTGAACAACGGAAAGAGAAAAGAGTACTAAAAAAAACTTTTATTAATAAGCTAAAAACCAAAGGCTAAATACAAAAATAAGTGTTCAAATTATGCATCGAAAAATATTTTGGTGCCTAAAGAATTTTTTTGTTAAAATTAAGTGTCTAATATTTCAAATGTTATATTTTTAGGTGTCCAAACATTAATCACGTTCAGGTTATTTATGAATTTATTTTAAAAAATAAAAAATAAAAATATTTTTTATTAAAAAAACATCCCCCTCACTCGTGCTTCCTTCACCTTCTCCCTTTCCCTTTTCCCCCTTCTACCACCAATCAGTCGGCCGGCCGTGACTGTTACCCTCACCTTCATCAGCACCGATGTCGACCCCCGATCAAACACCCGTTAGCCTTACGTCGTAAGCTATCACTGTTTGTCGTGGAGAAGTTTTCAAAGGTTCGTCGAATTTTAAATCACGGCCTCCATCTTTTGTCGATTTCGGCCGATCCCGACGTCCATAAGTTACACCGCCACCACCATTCGAAACACTGTGTAATTCCGCTCAAAATCCAACCATTCGACGATGACGATGACGATGATGGCCGACGATCGTGGAGGGAGGGAGAGAGAGGTCCAAAGGTTAGGTGTTGATTTTTTTATCTTTTAAAAATAATATTTTTATTATTAAAAAATTAAAAAATAAACAATAAGGACCTAAAATTATAACCGAGAAAACGTTATAAACTTATTTTTAACGAAAAAATCTTTAAGCACCGAAACATTTTTCGAGGCATACCATTATAGATACAAGCTATGAAGTTACTAAACTACATCAGTACCCAACCCAAACGACATAACCCGAATCGCATCAAAACTGAAACCAAAACAAATAAGCCATTAAAAGTGAAAGCACTATATTGCTGGTAAAAAA